ACTTTTAGCTTTAATCGCTGCTTACGCCGCTTCAATCCGGGATCAGAAACTAAAAAGGATTATATATCTTAACGGCGGTATCAAAAACTAGCAGTATGCTAGTAAATTCATGTGATCGTTTTTAATTTTTCTGTATGAATATGCCAATGGATCGTGGCGTATTTACAGGTGTCCGAACAGGTCCTTGTTCGGTTTTGCCTAGTGATGCGGTTTTGCAGCCAGGCACCGCAGGTGCCCAAATACCATGAAACCGTGGCCTGCATAAATGGTCCCATAGGCCACTGGAAGCAAGGCTCCCGTGCTTACGCCGCTTCAATTCGGTATCAGAAACTAAAAAGAATTTTGGCATTAATGTTGGATAGGATCGTTCAGTCTAAAATCTATATACAACAGTAATTAACATTTGAACTGATTGATACGTCGTTTCGTTGGCGCATAACTTTACCAAGACTAATTTTGCGACATATTGCACAGCTTTCTTGCTTCAGGTTGTTAATGGGCATTTAAACGGGTCATGGTTACGTGATATTTGAATATCTGCTGTGTTGTGTGCATCAGGCATTGTTTGTTTGCTGGAATAACCTCGTGCTCAACGAATGATGTCTCAAAAGTTAGCATTCCGCATTAACGTCAGATGCGGTTTCTAGCATTTATCCTGTTTAAATGCTCTTGAAGCGACTAGGAGCAAAAGACCGGTGCAGTACGACCAGGAAACCTGTTCTAGGATGAGTTATGTACAAATTAACATGCTCAGACTTTGGTATTATGTAAAGATCATCATCTTGTAAATCACCGTTCGTTCGATCTTGAGGTTGTACCTGTGAACAAAATACATTAAATACATCCGTGGCCTGTATGAATGGCTGCGTTAAGTCGTTACACTCCTGATAATGTGGTAATACGCTGTGAATTTTAATTTTGGTGGAGTTATGCATTAATTGTGGATAGACTGTTAGCCGTTTCGCGGTTAGTTGGCTTACTGTTGGTCGAAGTGCTCTAACTGCTAAAAATCGCAATTGTTTTCTGGTCGTTTCCGCATCTGAGACCAACAATTTCCAAAATTTCTAGGTTATATACCACAGGTGGCGTTGAAATAGTTAATGGTTGGAGAAGCTTGTTGATATATGAGATAGTTCTCTCAAACCAAGTTCATTTCTTATTCAGAAGTACTTTGTTTAACCAGTAAATGTTAGACTACAAATAGCCGGCCGATTTACAAGTACCTGTCGACATTCGCCTGCCATGCCACGTGGATCAAATAGTAACGCAGGATTCAGACGATATAGCATTCCAAACATACATGTAATTATTATGATTCAGAGGTGGGGTACAATCACGAATTTGATATGCAAAATCAGGTCAATCCAGCAAAGATTCGATTTCATTTTTAATGATGCCTTTACTTTGCATCTGTTGGTTAGCATTCTAGTAAAGCAGTTTAACAGTGCTTTGTTTATGTGGCATTTGCAAATTGGAAAACTATAGCACTGTTCGTTTGTTGGATATAAATGTTTTCAAGCAGCCATTTGTTCACAGCCCTGACGATGATACGGTGTATGTAGTGAAAAGCGTTGACAGTAAAGGTTTTACCATCTACTGTGTTTGTTGCTCTGAACCATGAATTGTTCAGCCACCTATTTGTACGTGAAAATATTTCGAAATCTCTTTTCACTGCATCCAGTAAACAATTGAAGATCACCTATGTGCAGAAGTAGATTTTGTCCCGGCCCCAGTTTTATCCATAAATGATCAGTGTCCGTATGTTGGTCTTTGATGTATCCAAACAACTCCGTAAATTTTCAGAAAGTTACGGATGTGACGTGTTTGTCTGAACGGTTAACACTTAAGTTATACGTTGGTTTAATGTTGCCTAAGCGAGGAAGTTCGGTTGTCTGTGAAACAGACTGTAGTGACTGTAAATGTTTTTTTTTTCATTTCCGTTAATCACAAGCAATGTGACGTTATCATTCTACATAATGGAATCATACGAGTAATGGCACACCTGATTGAAGGTCTGTACGAAGAGACGTGATCACTGAATGATTTGAATCTGAACTGAGAAGTCATTGACGGATTCGTTAATTGTTGCCTGTATTGTTTGTCATGGTGAGATATCGCTCCTTTGTTGTTTAAAATCATGGCGTACGATATTAGGCGGAAGAGCGTCGTCCCAAATTACAGTGAGGGACTGACCGTCAGTCAGCAACATAGCTTGAGGTATCCGGAAGTACTGCTAACAGACTTTGAGTAGGTCGATGCTTCGTGCTGCTGAGCGACTCCACAAATGGCCTACTGACACTCACCAAAAGAGCATGTAACAGTGATATGAGAGTGGGACTACAAGTCAACTCCAAGAAGACGAAGATTATGAAAGTGCCATTTGCGTCCGTCAGCCTAAGGATACTGTATGATACTGTAATGTAGATGAGGTAAACCATTTCAAGTTTCTCAGAATTGTGTTGCCTAACGATAGCGACATTAATCCTGAAATAAACAAGCGGATTGAATTGACATGATTGAATTTTAATTTTATCATTCAAAATTACGTATGGAACGATAGATCTATAAGAACGAACATGAAGATCACACTTGTATGCAGTGGTATTGGCGATGCTCCTTTAGAGTCTCGAAACGTGTTCTGTCCTGGAGCACGTCTAAACAGTTTTCAACAGTGCTGTTTGTGAATTATCCGCAATCTGTGATGCTCTTATCTGTTCACGGACTGATAGGTGCTAATAACCACAAATGTGAGAAACCTATCAGATTAACTGAGAGACCGGCGTTAGGCTTGGTTTCCTTTCACGTTTTGAAACCTGCATTGGCTGCAGTCGCGTTGGGGGCAATTCAAAACGTGAAATCGTGTTCATTAAGCAGATCTGCTTACGAAGAAGAATATTACCTTTGCCGTAGCAGTGAAAGTTGCCTAATATCAATCTGTGATACCATATCTGTAGGTTAGATATCACAAATTTGGGTTAATCTGCTGTTTAAGCATTGTTAATCTCAGCTGGCAAAACAACAAATTGCGATTTCATTGACGGAACTCGTAGATATACAACAAGATAGAACTGACTGGTACAGTAGACCATAAGATGCGCTTGAAAATCTATGCTGCACGCTCTGACATAGTGTTTGATACCCTTGAAATTTATGATGACTTTAGCAGTAGCGACTTTGACATCGTGGAGGCATCGATTGGATTATCATAAAATAATCATTACATATCTCGACTAAAAAAAGTAAACTGTTATGGATATGATACGTTAACATATTTAGCTCATGATGATTAATCCAGCGTTAGCTGTTCGAAAGGAATGATCCGATGTGTTTACGTTTTTCGGGTCAGAGTAGAAGTATTATTATGCTTTAATGACGATCGATATGCGGTCCATAAACGCTGGCCTGCCAAAAATTTAGTTTCTCTTGCCGCTAACCGGTTAACCTGAGCGGCAGGTAACGTAAGAAAAAAAGAATTTGATCAAAATTGTTAGGCCTTGACGGTCAAAATGGCTTTAAGGACTTTGTTTTCTTTCATACTTCTGATGTAATCCATTAAGCTTCATCAGATTTTCTGTTTTGCCCATAAGTGACCGTTCTTTGTTCAAAGGATAAACGATGTCATGAAAAGTTTTTGATGCCCTCTTCGAGATTAGGATAAGCGGCTTTAAGTTTAAGGTGGATGTCAAAGATTTGCTGAAAATCTTTAGTCCTAGGCCATTTATGGCTTTCATCGAATAATGATTATTACTTCGTTGTACTGTTGTGTTGCGATCGACCAGTGTGCTGAGCGACGACCGTCATTGACGAGTCTCAAAAGATCTCTCTCTAGATTGTTCTGGCGGCTACTTACATAATGTTGAATGTTCGTGCCGTCGGCTACTTCGTATTCGCTTTAATCGTCGAGATGAACACCGCATTTCTGCATGCCCGGAAGCTGTTCCAAATGGCCGCCTACTCACGCGAGCATCTTGTCGTACGTGCCAACCTGATACTGAACTTGCTGACATTCGTTCCGTTCCGGTTCATGCCCATGATTTATCTTTCATATGCTTTTCGGTTCGAAAGGCACCAGATGTCGTGGATTTATCAGATCTACCTGTTGTTGAGCATCTCGATCTTGAACGTCATCAATCTAGTGCTGCTTTATCGACTTCTGAACGCCGACGTACTGCCAGTGTTGCACAAAAACAACTCCTTCCTTCGTTTGGTCCCGATTCGTTCCAAACCTAATGAAACGTGAAGTCCATCTAGTCAGGACCAGCAACACTACTGGAGTGCACGGTTTGATAGAACATCAACGATTGAAAACACTACTTACTAATAAAGTACTTTCAGTTGGCGATGGCACACCGCAGCAGAAACTGGGCTGGTGTGCCATGTTCGAGAGTGCTGGCGTCGTTCGTTGCTGTGATCTGAGAAACCGAGCTACTCTATGCGTGGTGGCGCCTTCGTTTGCACTTTCATGTTTTATTTTTGAAAATGTTGCACACGCATCATTTATATTTTATTCTGGCTGTGATTTTTTAGTTCGTTGACAAATTCTATAATTCGGCATGGGCAGTTGAGTCGTTGCATGTCGGTCTTTTGTTATACGCAGTTAGTTAAATGCTTTGTTATTGCAGTACTTGTTACTTCTTTAAAGTTTTAACTGCACGGAGTTAGGCCTGGGCGAAGGTATTTTAGATTATCGTATAGGAATGAAACTTTCATCGTTGTGATCAGTATGCCAGTTTCTGTTTTGAGTAAAAGTTGGCGAAATCAGAAATTTTTTAGTCTCGATTAAACAATCAATCAGTTAAACATGCCAGAGAAGAAGGCCACGAGCAAGTGGGCAAAAGACGGAAACAAAGGATCCTAAAGTTATCAAGACGGAATTTGAAAAACCTTCCTTTGTAGTACAACACACCAGACTTTGGGGAAAGATGAAAGGCGCCTCGCGGGAGCAGCAGTATCGTGCCTGTGAAATCAAGGAAGTGTTACTCATTCGCGCAACCAGCTGCGTCAGTTACGGCCTTGTCCGTGACATTTACTAAAAACATCAAACGGTCGTTCTCGAACAACCACATGCGCGGCACCATCAGTCTCGAACAACCGATTCCGCATGAAAGTGAAGCCGTGTAAAACTCACTGTTACTCCAAAGACGAACCGAATTTGATCCGAAATGTCGGTATCTCAATAGAATGCTTATACTTAAAGACTTCGTGCGTTGTGCTCATGTTTGTGACTCCGCAATTTTACCTCTTGCATGAACGTATTTTTTTCAATAAATTATACATATGACATTTCCAGAAACAGCATAGGACACGGCGTATTTATACACAATCCAACTAGTATAATCAATCGGATGACTGACCATAACTGTCGTTTCGGCTCGTGGCGCACCTCCCTCAAGCTAAACGACTTCGGAAGTCTTCATAAGTGTTTTTGATTTCATGCGTACTAACAGCATAGACGCTTCCGACGTAGCCGACCTTTACCCAGAAGAAGGCAAGTATGACACGACCCAAACGTTGGCATTGGTTAATAACCCTACTGACCAAATTATTTGCAACTAAACCGTGTCTAACGCTGTTTTCAGTGCGACACTGACGCACAGACGAAATACTTAACTTTCGAATACATACTACGTCTCGACAATAGAGTAAATATGGATTCGCAGCTAGAGAATGATGGCAAGTATTTAACTCATCCGATGCCAAATTTCACATACCGTATCACGCAGTTCTTTGATATTTATGGGGCTGCTACAACGGTAAATTAAAGCCCAGTGAAATTTGAACTCTTATAACGCTGATTACCATACAACAGTATGCTGACCCGTGTCTAAGATGTTCATGCGGTAGCAAGTAAGAAGTGCTAGTTAAGATACCTACAAATGATAGGCGATGCTTCTAGCACGCAGGTTCGGAAATTTGACGCAGTGGCGTCTTCAAAACTCCGAAGGAAGTAAAGGGACGACGCACCTTGCTGCGAAGTCTAATTCTGATGCAGTTTATTGCCTATGGTACATTTTTGAATGAGGGCATATATTATCGATCTAATGAAACCGAAGCTCTTATTTACCGCACTCCAGAGGACTATGGAAATAACAAAGTAGTGCTTTGGATTAGAACATGATTTTGGAAGCTGTCAACATCATCGGCAGTCATGTTTGATCCACTGTTTCAAGACCTGTTTTTTTACCATTTTTATACAACTTGATCCAAAGAACTTCTTCAGCTAATCCTGCCATTAAGGAGATATTTCTATGGACCATGTTTTCTCCACTGGAATCGAGTCTGAGGTCTCCCTTGTCGGTTCTTCTTGCAACGAACTTTCCACTTCACTCAGAGACTGACACAGCAGACTTCTGCTCGTTTTTTATCGGACTCTACCCATTCACTGCTAATCATCTTCCTATTTCAAATATACACTTTCGATGTTGCAATTGTCGAATATCCACGTTTGGCATTCACAGTTTAGAACTGATTAAAAATTTTCCGTCTTAAGCACAAGGGCAGTTTCCCGGATAGCCGAACTTAATCTTGTAAAAGCGCTCATTTTTACTCTTCTGTTGCGTTAACAGTCTGTTCGAACTGCGTAAACCATAGGTAGGTTTACACTACGCTGTAAATATATGCAAGAATAGAAAATTTTAACTTTTGGATTTCAATGTCACAGTGCGTTGCTTCCACGGCTTTCTTATCTACCCAGGAAAGATGAAAAGTGGGTAACCGACCGGAACTTAAACAGTCTTTTGATCGTGAATCCGGAGTTCTAAAAACTGAACTACTCGGATTATTTAATCTAAGGACGCGACTGAAACCACTACGCGGACGAATGAATAGAGCTTCTTTTTTATTACAGGCGAAGTATAATTTTCAAATGATACTTTTCATTCTTTCAAATAAGCTAGGTGATAGCTAAGAACAGGTGAATATCTCTAATCACCGACAGTTTCGGAATCTTAAGCCTATCTCCTTCATCTTTCTGCTCGTTACAAGCTGTTTCCATGAAATCAGTGTTTTTCCACCTGATTAGGTTCTTCTTCAGGGATTTACTTTGTTACTTTTGTTGCAATTTCTCTCAAATAGGATTATTTAATACTGAGACAAAACTAGGTTTCAAACAAGCGTAAACGATCCGCAGGGAGATCTCCGGATCGATGACAGGATAAGCCGAAGTTCGCCTGTATCGAGATGGATAAAACGCCGAAAACACTGGTTGACGGCAATGTCTTGGAAAGGCTTTCATGTAGAAATGGATAGAAAAAAAGCTTATTAATATAGAATAAAACTTTCCACGTTGCTATGGTAATCGTGAATGATCGATAATAATTATTCGGTTAACGATACCGTGCAATGAATACTACTTTATTTACTCCAGTATCCCAGAAGAAACACAGCAAACGTCTACGTTTTTCAGGGAATACTTTAATTAATTTAACGATTGTCAGGACAATGCCAAGATGGCGAATCAGGCGGCATGTAACATGGAATACCGACAAGTAAGATCTAAAAAGCATGAAGTATCGGAAAAGTTAGAAACTGTTACGTCCAACAAATCGCTAGCAGACTTGAAAATCACTGCAACTACTGTTCTCAGTACTGCATGGACGATAAAACATGAGTGACAAGCTTTAAATTGAGTAAAATATTTTTCAGAAAGCTTTAACAAATTATCAATCACATGAGAGGAACGAACAACAAGATAGATGGCAACGTTGAGAAGTGATTAACGCTTTGGTGATGAAATGCGCATGTTCCCCATAGAAAAAGCGTTACAGTTGGAATCGCCGTAAGTGGTAAAACTTTCATTGCCGAAGCCTTTGGAGCTGACACCCGCGGCGACAATCTTAGAAGGAGTGTTTTGGTTTTGAATGACGATGTTGGACACGTGCTGCTGTGGCAAGGGAGTGGTGACGCGACGACGAGGGTTCCTCGAAGACCCGCTGTAACTGTTTTTAATCGAGCCGAATCTCGGGGCGGGTGACGCAAGGCTACCCTGACCGCCGTGTTCACCGCTTGTCACGGCCAGCAAGGGGGACAAGGGGGACATTTGCTGCTGTTGAGAATGCATCGCCGACGGTGTGCCATAGCTGCCCTGTTGCACTTGTACGTGGATACCGACGCTGGAAGTGCCGCTGACAAGTGTGCCTCCGTTGCTCTGAAACCTGCCCCCGCTCTGACTAACCCCAGGAGCGATTTTCATTACTGTTGAAGAGGACACCGATGCCCCAGCATCATACGACTTTGACAACGACACTGAAGACTTAACGCCGCGAGATGACGGCGATGCTCGCGAGTACTCGTTCTTGAACACAGTCGCCGTCAGTCCGGTCGGTGTCTGCGGAAGATGGCGCGATGACGTGACATGGTTCTGTAGGCCAGTCGCTGTCTTGTAACTTTTGCCGCATGAACATCGATATGGTCTGACGCTGCACAAATATGAAATTCGGTTCAGTTAAAACGTGAGAGTTAGAAAAATGAACTTACGCGTGAGTGTCTGCACCATGAACGACCTTCGCGTGACTTCGCATTCCATTCAGATTCTTATATCTCTTATTGCATCCCTCCACAGAACAAGTGAAGCGTTTCTCCTGAGTGGCGGAACTGTATCCGATGAGGCTAAAACACAAATCGTCGGTTCACATTTTGCACGCATCAGCGCCATTTGACTTTTCCAAAAATAATAATTCATTTTACTAGTTCCTGGGTAGTGATTACTGCGCTGTCGTGTCTTTCTGATCATAATTTTTCTCGGTTTCGTATAACTATTATCGCCCAATAAACCGTGTTCACCAAAGCCAAGGCATACCTCCCTCAACCACCTGAATTACAAGTTATTTTCATAGAATGCAGTGGAACATATACATAAAGAAAAAATGGTCTCCTCCTTAAAGAACGTAGAACTTGTGATGATAGTCATCAAAATTATGTCTTCGTCAAGGGTGATACAGTATCATGAACAAATCATAAACCAAAGTAACAAGTGAGAACTGCGAATGGCGAAGCGAAGGGAAGAATAGATCATGGTGAAAATGGCATTAAATGGGAATTCATGACATCTGGCGATGAAGTATTGATCAAGACTGGTGCGCTTGTTTTCACGCTCTATGGAGGAACTGAAAATTCTAGAAGATCTGACTACCGCATTGCTGATTTTACTCCAGAGAACGGAAGACAGAGGATTTTAAGAATTACAGGCTGATCAGTTAGTTACCAATCATCTACAAGATCTTCACGAAGGCTCTGACGAAAGGACTTCAAGAAAAATTAGCATTACATAATGAAAGGATCAAACAGGATTCAAAAGTGGATATAGTACGACGGATCATCTCCCGGCGACAGAATAAGTAATCCAAACAAGCAATGAATATTAACCTCCATTTTGCTTGGGTCCGTCAGTTTCGAAAAGGCCTTCGACGTAGTCTACATTCGTTCTGTATTCGATTAACTGAGGAGCAAGGGAATCGAGAAAAGACAGCGACATCATCGCCATGATTTACAAGAATGCAACTGGTGGTGTGAAGCTTCATGAAAGCACGAAAAGGACGTCATACAGAAAGATGCAATATCACTGAAGTCATTTACAGCAGCTCTGGGAGAGATTTACAAGACGCTACGTTCGGAAAATCAGTAACTAAGCAATGCGCCTCCTGCGGTTTGTGAAAGAGATTTTCATTTTTTCATGACTACCAGAAGAACTCACGAGCAGAACGACGCAAGCACGAAATTCAACTGAATTCAGCTGAAACTCATC